GATAACTATACACACACACACACACATATATATATATATATATATATATAGTATTTTTCTTTCAATTTCAGCCACTTTTAAATTAGAACGGGTGGGCATCACATAGTATTTGATATTTTTTGAAAAACGTATAATTCATGTAGATAATATATTATTATTATTATTATTGGAATGAGAAATCCAAAGATGTAAAATTAATTATTTAGGGAAATAAAATCACGAGGGGTAATTATATTTAGGCCACACCCTAGTAGTTTCAAACTCTTAAACATTACCTCCTTCCCCCGGTAAGTTCAGCGGTAAGTTTAAATATCGGGTTTCGATGCCCACAGTGTACAAAACATAGATAACCTATTTCATAGTTTTGCGATAAAAACAAACTTTAAGCATTGATAGTACGCAGAGACATTAAACATGATTGAACTTGTATTTTAATAATTAAATGACATTTGATGGGCAGTGACATTAAACATGATTGAACTTGTAGTTTAATTGTTAAAGGACATTTGAAGGGCAGAGACATTAAACATGATTGAACTTGTAGTTTAATTGTTAAAGGACATTTGAAGGGCAGAGACATTAAACATGATTGAACTTGTAGTTTAATAATTAAAGGACATTTGAAGGGCAGTGACATTAAACATGATTGAACTTGTAGTTTAATTGTTAAAGGACATTTGAAGGGCAATGACATTAAACATGATTGAACTTGTAGTTTAATAGTTAATGAACATTTGAAGGGTCGTAAAAACACATTCGTCACGAACGGCATTAATTGAATTTGAAAATGACGAAATAAAAAGCTTATAATTACACATCAAAATAGACTGTTTTAATAAATAGAAAAAAAGAGAAGCATGGTGAAACGCGCAGTCACGAAAGTGTGATGCATTACCTGACAGAACAGTAGACGTAGATCATACTTCAAAAACTATTACTTATCAAAATGTTAATACATTATAAGTTTCAATAGACTGTGTATTATTATTTTAATACATTATAAGTTTCCATACACTGTGTATTATTATTTTAATACATTATAAGTTTCCATACACTGTGTATTATTATTTTAATACATTATAAGTTTCCATACACTGTGTATTATTATTTTAATACATTATAAATTTCCATACACTGTGTATTATTATTTTAATACATTATAAATTTCCATACACTGTGTATTTTATTATTTTAATACATTATAAATTTCCATACACCTGTGTATTATTATTTTAATACATTATAAATTTCCATACACTGTGTATTATTATTTTAATACATTATAAATTTCCATACACTGTGTATTATTATTATTATTTTAATACATTATAAATTTCCATACACTGTGTATTATTATTATTATTTTAATACATTATAAATTTCCATACACTGTGTATTATTATTATTATTTTAATACATTATAAATTTCCATACACTGTGTATTATTATTATTATTTTAATACATTATAAGTTTCAATACACTGTATATTATCATATAATAAACAGGTCGAACTTTTGTAGAAGTCGTCTGTTGTATCTCATTAACAGCAATTTGTGTATTAAAATATGGTATATTGTGTGCACTCAACCAGAACAGAGTAGACACACATGTTGGGGGGGTGGGGGGGGTTACCTAGTAAAATCTGTACTACTTCATTTTGGTAAGTAAATGGAAGGTGGCTCGTACGAAATTAAACAGACTTGGTCAGGAACAGTTTCTGGTTAACCAACTGCCCGGATTCGACAGAAACACCTTTTTTTTTTTCCCACCAGCCCAGAATACGATTTGAAAACTCGGAATTTGTTGACCATTTACAGTTTTAGCAAAAGTGTCTTTAGTGCTAACTGCAACGATTATTATTTTGTCACGCGCGTAACAAACTTTTTTTTTTTTAAAAAAAAGAAGACCAGAATAGATATTGTAAAAGGTTGATCACGTTAATAGCACATACTTAATCGCGTGTGTATTGCACGTTTTTAGACAGAATATAAGTACTGAAACAAAATAAGCTAGGAAGTTATTAAACAGTATAATTTACATATATATAAATAGCACGAACTTATACAAAAAGGGGGCAAATAAATTCAAAGTCCTCACCTGTGCTGGTCCACCCGGCACGTGGAAGTGAATACGGTATTCGTCTCTGATTCGCTGCAGTTCAGCCTGACGCTGTTCGATGCTGTGGTCATCTTCTGGTAATGTGCAGTCGAACTCGTGGATGACGTAGTGGACATCGGCAACCACCCAGCGGTGCACAGGAAAGTAATGCACCTTTCTTGTTGCCGCCAAGTTGTGCACTTCGACTCTGTCCAAAAACCAGTCGTCTCCCAAGCCGTAAGAATCTCGCCAGAACTCGACCTTAATAACCTGACCGAAGCCTCCAGCCGCGGTGACCTTATACTTACCCGTGGTGTTTCGCTCATGGTCATTTTTCCAAAAGTTGTTTAGCTCGACTACAGAAGACTTCTGTCCGCGGTCATCGTGAAGAACAAGCCACACGTTGGCGTCGGTCCCAGCTCCAGAGCGGTCGCCAGTTACCACGTGCACTTCGTATTTTTGTGTGCTACGTACAACAGAAGTGGAGTTAAGTACAAAACACGTTTCCCCGAAAACCCAATAATTCTACTGGTGTTTATATTACGAACAACACAGGACAATTTGACCTTTTACCTAGAAGCAAGTGTAATTCAGGCTAACTCAGTAACGGGTGAAACATGTTACAGTTTTCTCTCTTCAAATAGGAGTAACACTAAAATGTAACCAGTAATCTTTTCTCCAGATATTTATTCTTTCAATTTTAAAATCTGGAAATACTTCGAGGAATACCACTATAACAATAAATATGCAAAAAAAACAAGAGGAAAAAACGTTCTCTTTCCCCCAACGAAAAACCTACCTTTGTTCGGCCATGATTAAAAGCAACGCACATCCACCACCTGAACCAACAACCTTCGCCAAAATATTTCATCGCCTGGGGGCGATTCTCTAATATACCCACTTCCGACAGTTGCTGTACACTCCTGCCCCCTTTCGGGCGTTCGGGTCATTATAATGTTCTCACTTGATAAAAACTTATGAGCAGGCGCAAAAGAACCATTAGGAATTTTGAGTTGGCATAGTTGAGATTTGAGAAATTAGTCCTAAATAAAATCTCAACTATTTAAGTTCCTCAGAATCAGTGTAATAATTATTTAATATATACTTGATATACAACAGGTGATGAATGCTTCTACACGGTTACTTATGAAAACAGCTCATCTGAGTACATATCTTTTTTTTAAAAAAATGACCCTCATTGGCTCATCGGTAAGTCTGAAGGCTTACAATGCTAAAAACCGAGTTTCTATACCTGTGGTGGGCACAACATAGCCCATTATGGAGCTTCACTCTTAACAGCAGCCCCCCAGTGGCACAGCGGTATGTCTGCGGACTTACAACGCTAGAAACCGGGTTTCGATACCCGTGGTGGGCAGAGCACAGATAGCCCTTGTGTAGCTTTGTGCATAATTAAAAACAAAAACAAAAAAACTTAACAACAGACATACAAACAAAACCTCAATTTCCGTCTTTATATCATCCCCAGTGCTCATCAGGAAGTCTGAGGATTTTTAACGCTAAAAGTCGGTTTTTTGATACCATTGGTTGGTAGAGAGAGATATATATAGTCCATGGCTTGGCTTTGCGCTTAGCAATGATGAAACAAACCCTCTTTAGAGTATGCTTAAAAATGGTTTCGAACTAATAGAGAATGGTGTATTTCTCTTCTGAACTGTGATATAAAAAATCAAATCAAACGCACAGCTTTACAAATGAATGTTAATAAACGTTAGTACAACTGACGATGTTTTGTGATTTGACACTGAGTTATTTAATAACTTCTAAAAGAGTGTCAGTCAACGTACAGTTATTTGACATTTTTACTTTAGGCTACAATATTGCTTTTCAATGTTGTTTGATAAAACTTTTGACAGGATGTTTATTTTAGGTTCTTATACTGTTACATCCTTATGTTGCTTGATAGAATTTGTTTAAAGGTTACAGTGCTTTTATTTTAGGTTCTTATACTGTTACATCCTTATGTTGCTTGATAGAATTTTTTAAAGGTTACAATACTTTTATTTTTAGGTTCTTATACTGTTACATCCTTATGTTGCTTGATAGAATTTTTTAAAGGTTACAGTACTTTTATTTTTAGGTTCTTATACTGTTACATCCTTATGTTGCTTGATAGAATTTGTTTAAAGGTTACAATACTTTTATTTTAGGTTCTTATACTGTAGCATCCTTATGTTGCTTGATAGAATTTTTTAAAGGTTACAATACTTTTATTTTTAGGTTCTTACACTGTTGTATACTTATGTTGCTTGACAGGTTATTTTTGTTTTAAGATACGATATTGTTACATCCTTATATTGCTTGATAGAATTTGTTTAAAGGTTACAATACTTTTATTTTTAGGTTCTTACACTGTTGTATACTTATGTTGCTTGACAGGTTATTATTGTTTTAAGATACGATATTGTTACATCCTTATGTTGCTTGATAGAATTTTTTAAAGGTTACAATACTTTTATTTTTAGGTTCTTATACTGTTACATCCTTATGTTGCTGGATAGAGTTTGTTTAAAGGTTACAATACTTTTATTTTTAGGTTCTTATATTGTTACGTCCTTATGTTGCTTGATAGAATTTTTAAAGGTTACAATACTTTTATTTTTAGGTTCTTATACTGTTACATCCTTATGTTGCTTGATAGAATTTTTGAAAGGTTACAGTACTTTTATTTTTAGGTTCTTATACTGTTACATCCTTATGTTGCTTGATAGAATTTGTTTAAAGGTTACAGTACTTTTATTTTAGGTTCTTATACTGTTACATCCTTATGTTGCTTGATAGAATTTTTGAAAGGTTACAGTACTTTTATTTTTAGGTTCTTATACTGTTGTATACTTATGTTGCTTGACAGGTTATTTTTGTTTTAAGATACGATATTGTTACATCCTTATGTTGCTTGATATGATTTTTGGTTTAGGTTACGATTAATCAAAATGAACATAAAGAAAAGTTCAATATTTATATTTCAATATTTATTAGCAAAATTAATGTGATTTGTAAAAACTTTCACACAAAGCGTGACTCAAAATATAACAATAGGGTAATCTTCAATAGCCACTGCTCTTTAAATTAATCTGTGAAACCTTGGGCGTGATCAAATACATCAATCGAAAGGGTTTGACCTCCTGAGTCCAAAACTGTAATTAGATCTCAAAATCGGTCAAGAAGTGACAGAGCTACGAACTAAAAGTTTGTACTTGAAAAACTCGGAGCCATTCTATGAGCCGATATGCCGCGGCTGAAAATAAGATTTAAGCTGCGGTAATCTGTAACATAGTATCACAAAACTACAAGTAATTTAAAAGAGAATTTCTTTTTTTAACTATTAGCTTATTGGCTATATCTGACTTTTATTCTCTGACGTATGCACTTAAGTGGTGCTGCCATCTATGTAATTAATTGTAAGTTACTTTGTTTTCTCACTATAGTTATTGAAAAACAACCGGTGAACAACTAATGTAAGCGTACAATTGAAAGTGTTAACCGAGATCTCAATTAAATTATTAAAATATTGATATGTTTTCACTTCCATTATTTATACTATTCGTTAATTTTCATGCCGCCGATAATGTATTACGCTATTTTTTATAGTTATGTTACACGAATTTACTTAGGTCCTCAAGGCGGAGGTGTATCGAGAAAATATTACTTATTTCTCAGACAAAAAACATAAATGAATGTAAGAGTGATTTTTTACTTAATGCAAACAAAAAATACTAGTAATTTCTCTGTGTGAACGGTAGGCGGCGCTGTACTTCGTTCTAATTTTTTTTTTTATAGGGTTTGATTGTTGGCTGCTCTTAAGCGCAAAGCTACACAATGGACTATTTGTGCTCTGCACACCGCCGATTTTTAGCGTCGTAAGCCTGCAGACTTAGACACTGTGTGTGTGTGTGGGGGGGGGGGGATTGTAGAGTTAAATAATTCACCACATCATCAGGTAGGCCCTCTAGTGGCTCAATGGTAAGTCTGAGGTCTTATAACACAAAATAAAAGCACTGTATAGTTTGTGCTTTATAACAGTTAGTACTAGATGTATAATTTTATTGCATTTAAAGTTGATAGAAAAGAAAATCACTTTTTGATGCCATATATCAGATGAGTATTACATATTATAGAACATTAGATTTCAGACATTGAAATAAGTTATTAGTAAATATTTGTACATGAATAAAGATACGATTGCCATCTATCGTCGCAATATGAAACTAAGTTAAAACATGGGTAACTCGTTTCGTTTTACTTCGGCATAAGATTTGTCTACTTTTTTATGTAACGTGTGTGTAGCAAAGGTGGGTTCCAGAAATCCCGAAGACGAAAGGTATTATTAGTACAAACAAGTGTGTACCAGGTCGACATCCTTTAACAATGATAGCAGTGTTTGTATATTAAATCTGTACAGTTTTTCTCCTCAAGTTAGAAATGTTTTAGAGTCTCAAAGACGACTCTGCTTGCAATATGATGGAATTAGAGGGCGCTCTTAAACCAAAATAAACATATTTCTACTTCTATTAATTTCTTCGACTCGAGACGATCCCCGAGGCTACCCAGGGCTCCCTGTGTAACTCTTAAATGAATGATAATTGGTCTTATTCGTAGATTAAAAGAAACAAAATCCTCACATATCTTATTGCTAACCCTAGTTTAGGAACAACAGATCGTATTCGTAGGTTAAAATAAACAAAATGCTCACATATCTTATTGCTAACCCTAGTTTAGGAACAACAGATCGTATTCGTAGGTTAAAATAAACAAAATGCTCACATTTCTTACTGCTAACCCTAGTTTGGGAACAACAGATCGTATTGGCAGGTTAAAAGAAACAAAATACTCACATATCTTATTTCTTAGCCGAATTTAGGAAATACAGTTTTTATATTTCAATTTCTCAAGAAAAAAAATTACTTGAATTATTAAGAGGATGAAAAGACACATATTAATAATTGTTTTTCATACCGTGCAGTTTATCCCATGATTCTCATGAATCATTAACTTTAAAAAAATACTCTCAGCGTCACCTCGAGGCTTTGGCAACTTACATAAATAACAAGCGCTACCTCGTAATAAATCAGTAGACAGTAAACCACTATCATTGTTATGGATAACAGCATAAATATGGAGACTATAAAAACTGGGATAAACAAGGTAAGTTTTCTCAGTAGACAGTAAACCACTACCATTGTTATGGATTACAGCATAAATATGTAGACTATAAAAACTGGGATAAACAAGGTAAGTTTTCTCAGTAGACAGTAAACCACTCCCATTGTTATGGATTACAGTATAAATATGGAGACTATAAAAACTGGGATAAACAAGGTAAGTTTTCTCAGTAGACAGTAAAACACTACCATTGTTATGGACTACAGTATAAATATGGAGACTATAAAAACTGGGATAAACAAGTTAAGTTTTCTCAGTAGACAGTAAAACACTACCATTGTTATGGACTACAGTATAAATATGGAGACTATAAAAACTGGGGTAGAGAAGGTAAGTTTTCTCAGTAGACAGTAAACCACTACCATTGTTATGGATTACAGTATAAATATGGAGACTATAAAAACTGGGATAAACAAGGTAAGTTTTCTCAGTAGACAGTAAACCACTACCATTGTTATGGATTACAGTATAAATATGGAGACTATAAAAACTGGGGTAGAGAAGGTAAGTTTTCTCAGTAGACAGTAAACCACTCCCATTGTTATGGACT